CCTTCATTCAAGCTCCCTCCTCCACCAAGCACCCTTTCTCTCCTCCTTCAACCCCCAGGAATGCTTCCCAATGCGGTCACCTGCCCTCACTCACCCTCCCCTTTACTCCTGCCTTATGTCTGGTGTTCGCCTTGTCTATCCTAGACTGCGTTCCTTCTCTTATTGAAAACAATAACGGTCTGTCTGCACGGCTTTGTAAACCCGGGTCTGTGGGACCCATGCTTGTGGACTCGGTGTGTCCACGGCCATGTTTGAGCATCCACCCTCTATTGTAAACCTGTAGTGCAGTATGGATGCATCAGTGTGGTTTGGAGACCCAAGTCCAACAACTGTTGGTCTCCAAACCACACTGATGCATCCATACTGCACTACACAGGCCTTCTGACTCAGGTCTGAGGCAGGCTTGAGCTGCATCCACACTGCAAAATGACAGGGCTTGAGTCTCAGCAGGACTTGGGATCAGACACACACATCCTGTCCTCCAGGCGGGTTCTAGGAGCCAGGTCCTGTGGGCTTGCTGACCTGAGTGAGACTGATTTGTGCGTGGACGGTACAGGGGCTTGGACTCAAACCTGAGCCTGAGTCCAGATTTACAATGCAGTGTAGACATATCCCCAGAGCTCTGCCATAATCTGAATGAGAGCAAAATCAAGACCTTAGAAAAAGCTTTTGGTGCAGGGAATGTGCAAAGTGCTGTGCAACGATACTCTTATTACTATTATTTATGCCGTGTATTGTGGTAGTGCCTAGAGATTCCAACCTATTTGGGGTCCCTTTGTGCTAGGCATTGTACATACACATAGTAAAAGGACAGTCCCTGCCCAGAAGAGCTAACAGACATAACAGGTGAGTGAAATGGACATGCAGGCAGTGGGAAGGTAGGAGAAGGAAATAAAAATGAGGGGTGTTATAGCATGGACTAGCTGACGGCACAATTCATAGATGCTAGCCAGGAGCAGTAATTGCAACCTGCCAGCTGATGGATATAGTTAGTAGTAATTAAAGATTTCTGTTTGGGCAGAAATTCCTTCTCTACTTTGACCTGCACCGCTTGGCCCTGCTGACTGAAATCACTGGAAAAGTTCTCATTGATCTGAATGGACTTTGGATCACGCCCTTTGATCAGCTAGAAATACTGTTGCATGTGGACAACTGGTGCCTTAGCACTGGGAAGAAATGCAAAGATAGAGTTAATATTTTGGTCAGACATGCAAGGGCTGAAAAACAAATAAAGCAGCGAAATAAATGGGGACAAATGTACAATCCGTACCAGGTGTTTGCTAAAGTGGCACCCATTGGCCAATGTTCTTTTTCTCATTATAACTCATTTGCAGATCAGAATCAGGAATTATCTCCAGGGACGTTTTCGGATGTAAATAGATGACTAGGCATGTTCGTATCATTTTTGCCATCCCTAGTATTTATGCTTTATATTGTTTCCCGGGCACACTTCAATCAGATCGTCTCGAAACTCCCAGCCAGATCAGGAGTGTTTTGACTGAAATGAAGATTAAACATTATTTGGGGATGAGTCACAGCCACTGGCAACAAGATCAGCAAGAACTTTTGGGGCCTCTAGGGTAGAAAGTGCCGTATAAATGTATGGCATTTTTTATTTCTCGTCTTATCACAGCACAATTGTTCACATCCTCTTTGTAGCATCCTTCTGTCTACTTAAACACTGGAGTCTTAGGCCTGGTCTAGACTGGGGGGGCGGGGGGAAATCAATCTAAGTGAATAACATAGCTGAAGTCGACATACTTAGATGGACTCACCGTGGTGTCTTCACTGCGGTGAGTCGACTGCTGCCGCCCCACCATCGGCTCTGCCTGCACCTCTCACCAAGCTGGAGTATAGGAGTCAACGGGAGAGCACTCGGGGATCGATTTATCGCGTCTAGACGTGATAAATCGATCCCCGCTGGATCGATCGCTGCCCGCCGATCCGGCCGGTAGTGAAGACATGCCCTTAGACCCTGACCCACACAGACAGATTCCACTCTTAGTTATATCAGTGTAAACAACAGAGTGTGTTGCTGTGTCCCTGACACCCTCCCACTCTCTCCAGGCCCTTTATCAGCCAAGCTGTTCTCCCCAAATCTGAACTGAAAACCCTGGACCAAACATACCCAGACTTTGAAAAACTTTAGATCTGGATTCAAACGTCGCCATGCAGCCCTTTACCTCTAGGATATTTATCTCTTTTCTATGGGTTACATCCTATCACTGATTTGTAGGCATTGATTTCAATGGCGTCTTCTGCTTAAAAGGAACGAGATGACAGGGGCCTCCCATATGGTGCCCAAAACTGTACGTGCTGTCCAGGATTTTCCAAAAGTGACTTGTGACCTTGGATGCCCAATTCAAGACATCTTAAAAGGGGGCTGAATTCCTGTGAACTGGTGCTCAGCAGTTTCAGAAAATCAGGCCCTACCTGTTTTTGAAACTCCCATCATCAAAATATCTGAACACTGCGTGATCTTTAATGTATTTATCCTCCCAGCACCCCTGGGAGGTAGGGCAGTGCTGTTCTCCTCATTGTATAAATGCAGAAGTGAGGCACACAGAGAGACTGTGACTTGCCCAAGGTCCCATAGGAAGTCTGTGGCAGAGCAGGACATTGAAACCAGGTTTCTCAAGCCCTAATCTAGTGCCCTAACCACTGGACCATCCTGCCACTGTAAAGAGGCCCTACATGTTTCTAGTTGGGTTACTGAGGTAATTGGTCTCTAGACAATCCTGTAGTATTGCCAACCCCAAACATTCCAAAATCATGAGCGCAGCCCTCAAAAATCATCAGGTTGGCTTAAAAAAATCCATGAGATTTTAAAACTAAAACCTGCTTTGTTTGGAGCCTTGAGGTTTCACATTTTCAAACTCTTCTCCACAACTGTGAGGCCTAGTAACTTACTTACTATTTTAAATGAAAGACAAGACTGTCAAGTAATATCCTAAAAAGCAACAGAGGGTCCTGTGGCACCTTTGAGACTAACAGAAGTATTGGGAGCATAAGCTTTCGTGGGTAAGAACCTCACTTCTTCAGATGCAAGATAATATCCTGATTCCAGAAGCTGGGGATTTAAGAAAAACACACGAGAGTCAAAAACACTGATCTTGTGCCGCTATTCCAAGCAAAGTTGAACCAGTGCTGTGTAAAGTAGGAAGAACCCTTCTGGCTCTCATATTTACACAACCCCTGTACTCCCCTTCCCTGCAACTATTGGACATTTTACAGGGCCAACAGTGATCATATGGGCCACGCTGAGTGTATTATACTTGGCCTTCTTAGCCATATGTATTCAAGCAGGTGCCTTTGCCTCTTTGGGCTTGTGAATTCTTCCTTCCGCAGTCGCTATGTGCAGGTTGGTAGAAGATGAGGAAAAAGGGGAGTTAATTTCCAGGGCTATTTAGGCATTAAGTTGATGTCTCAGTCCTGGCACGTAGCGCAGGTGTGGACACTGTTTTGTTTGCTGCTGAGCGTGGGTGGCGTGGATAAGAGGCTTGGGGACGCTAAGCCTCCCCCGAAAACACTGGCCACGCAGGAGGGCAAATGCCATGGACGCGTGGGTCACCTCCTTTCGGAGGCACGCCAGCCTGCTGCCTTTGGAGCACCGGAAGTGAAGCTCCCTAGAAGTGGGGGGCCACCGGTGCCCAGACTGTGGCTCCACCCGCATTCCGCCCCAAGGACCTGCCCCCACTCGGCCTTTCCCCCCGAGGCTCTGTCTCACTCCGTCTCTTCCCCGTAGCTCCCCCACCAAGGAGAGGAGCAAGCAACAGGCAAGGGGCAGACGGGCGGGGACTCGTCTTATCACTGCTAACATCCCAGCCTCGTCTTCACATTTCCTCCACTCAGATCTCAGCTTGACACCGACTGCTTTTCAATCCAGCTTTAGACAGACCTTCTCGGAACCATTTCTTCAGCAAAGCTGAATGCTCTAGAAATGGGTTTCCTTCTACAGCATAAACAACGAGGAGTCTTGTGGCACCTTAAAGACTAACAAATTTATTAGAGCACAAGCTCCAGACAGCCCCCACAACCTGAGGCAAATACTCACCAGCAACCAAACCCCACACAACAGAAACACCAACCCAGGAACCATCCCCTGCAACTAACCCCGTTGCCAACTCTGTCCACATATCTACTCAAGTGACACCATCACAGGACCTAACCACATCAGCCACACCATAAGGGGCTCGTTCACTTGCACATCCACTAATGTCATATATGCCATCATTTGCCAGCAATGCCCCTCTGCCATGTACAAAAGAATAAATGGACACAAAGCAGACATCAAGAATTATAACATTCAAAAAACTGGGAGAGCATTTTAACCTCCCTGGACACTCAATTTCAGACTTAAAAGTGGCCATTCTTCAACAAAAAAATCCTAAAAAACCAGACTTCAATGAGAAACTGCAGAGCTGGAATTCATTTGCAAACGTGACACCATCAAATTAGGCCTGAATAAAGACTGGGAATGGCTGGGTCACTACAAGAAGTAATCTCCCATCCACTGTTGAGTATGGGGCATCCACCTCGTTAGCACTACAAAAAGTAATTTTTACTCTGTTGACATTCACACCTTCTTGACCAGTGTTGGAAATGGAACACATCCACCCTGATTGAATCATTGACCCCCCGACTTGGTAAGGCAACTCCCATCTTTTCTTGTGCTGTAGATTTATGCCGGCCTGCTGTAATTTTCACTCCGTACATCTGAAGAAGTGGGTCATAGCCCACGAAAGCTTATGCTCTAATAAATTTGTTAGTCTTTAAGGTGCCACAAGACTCCTCGTTGTTTTTGCTGAAACAGACTAACACGGCTGCCCCTCTGAAACGTCTCCAATATGAGGTTCCGCTCTCCTTTAGACCTCTCAGCTGTTGTGCAGGTTGGTGCAGAGCCTCAAGATAGACTTTATTTTCTTCTTTCCAATGAAAAGTGTCTTAGACAATGCTTCCAGGGCTGCAGATACTCAACAGCTTCCTCTCCCTTTTGCCAGGCAGTCTGCATCTAACATCAGGGCATTGAACGACCTGGAAAGTACATCTCAAGTAAGTGGAGTGCATTAGTTTCCACTAATGGAACATTTGTTATCCTGCTCTTTTCAGCACTGGTGCCAGTGAAATGAACGGTCTCCAACCACGATCATTCCTTCATGGGGGATTTAAAATAAAAAAAGAAGCAGCAGCAGCTTTCGCAGCCACATTGTTGACTTGTGGTTTGGGGGAATGAACAATAGGTGCGTCTTCAATATTAAAGAGCACCGATTAAATCTGAACGACCGGAGCTGTGCATTGCAGATGAAAAATTAGCCTCCAACTTCTAGCAGACTTGCAACCTGGTCCAAGGCGCAAGGGAGTGGGGTGAAGTCTAAGCCCAACTGACCAGTGTGGGTACACTTCACACCTGTTGTAACTGGAGCTGGGTGGGAAATGCTCTTCTGGTTCTGTCACAGGGTGGCTGGGCCCTGTAACTGAAGTAGGTCCAGCACCCCTGTGCCAGAACAGGGCACAAATGTCCCAGCTAAGGAGGTGGGCCTGCCTGCACCTGGGGGTCAGAGAGAGCCAGTGAAAGGGAACTGGCTGAGAGAGGATTAGAAAGCTGTTGGAAGCAGGAAAAGCAGGATTGCCCCAGTTCCCTGGGAGGGGAGGCAGAGTGGCCTAAAATGTAAAGGGCGAGCTGAGGAACTGGTTTGTTTGTTTAAAGACTGGACAATAAACCCGCCTAAAAGAACCTGTGGGTTGGCAGAGAGTCCTCGGCAAGCTGCGGGGAAGCCCAGCCTTGTTACACCATCTCAGAAATATTTTTGAGAGTTTGAATATTTTCCTCCCCATCTTGAGTTGGGACAAACAGTTAGAATCTTGAAACTATTCACGAACTGAAAAACCCATGGGGGGGGGGGGAGGGGAGACCCTCAAAATGTTTTGTTTTGACGTTGACCTTTTTAATGTAAACCATTTTTCAGTCTAAATTTCTACACAAAACGTCCTTTGGAATGAAAACCCGGATTTTATTGTTGTTGTTTAGAAAATCTCAGCGTTAAACATGGGGACAATTCCTCAACTATTTTTCTGGAGACTTTTTCAGATCAGGAAATTCGTCCAATCCGATCCTGTATTGCAAGCAATGGACCCGGAGCAGCTCTGGCTATAATGTCCATCCTGACATCTGCAAAGTGCTTTCCATTTCCATATGGAGATTAGTGAACTGGAGCAGCAGTGGCTGATTGCTCCATTACATAGCCCCGTCTCCTTTAATGGTTTGATAAAAGGAGGGTGACAGGAAGATAAATAGAGATAATACTTTAGGCTTCTTACACTAGAACCATTATCATTAAAGGCATTAATTAGCTTATAATACAGTGTATAGAAACATCAAACACAGCCATTCTAAGGAGAAGTAACCTGATCATTGGCAGTAATATGATAGCATAGCTTTAGCACATAGCAAGCCTTCAAGATGGCTGGACCTGCAACACAGCATTTCAGGGGAGAATTCCCCTGGCCGCATCGCAAACAACATTACAAACGTTAACAAAAAACCCCATAATTACAGGATGGGCCTCGATAGACCTGGGCGTCATAATGGACTGGATAGCCTTTAACATTCAAGTCACTGGCTCCAACCCTGGCCAGGTTGGGAGAGACTAATGCTTGTTAGCATTTGGAGGATGAAATGAATTATGTTGGTAGGTTGCAGTCCAGATTCTGCTTATCTCAGGTACTTATACGGCTCCCATTACTGTAATGTCTGAGCATCCCACTCTATTTAGTGTATTTATCCTCACAACTCTTCTAGGAGGTAGAGCAGCACTATATCCCCCTTTTACAGGGCTGAGGGACACAGACGCTATGTGACTTGCCTAAGGCCACACAGGAAGTTTGTGGCAGAGCAACCCCACACTCCCCAACCCCACGCTCGTGCCAAACTGCTGGATCACCCTTCCCTTGGGGACAACAGTCAGTAACACAGAAGCCACAGCTACAATGAGCACTCTCGATGCCAACAGCCGCACAACGGCCAAGGAGTGACTACTCCATGAAATCGTGCTGCAGTGGGCCTCCGGGGCTCATTTTCTGGGGGTGTGGTGAAGGCGAAAGAGACGCATGCACTGCTGATCCCAGTGCTATCGCTTCTCTGCATAGCTGTGGAGGAATTCAGGCTCCTGGGCTGGGAATCCAGCTTTACATTAACAGAATTTTCTTAAAAGAACCAATCCCCCCAAATTCCAATCACTAAATGGATGTTTAGAGTGAAGCTGGTCAAAAAAATAAAAAAAACCCTGGAGATTTGGGGGAAAATTCATAATGTCTAATAAAGGAATCAGTTACGAATTTTGGAGTTTTTTTGACCTGCGCCAAAGGTGGTCAAAACCAATAGGCTATTTTTGCAAAACATGTGTGTGAAAATTTCAGTTTGCTTTATTGTTGCTGTTGACATTTTTCAACACCCCCCTCCGCCCCCCAAAAAACAAATTCCTCAACATTTCAAGTTTGGAATGAGCCCCACCAGCTGTCGTCCAGAGACGTGCATGGTAGATCAGACATTCTGCTCACCCAACCGACTTCTAAACCACACAAATCTGTGGCCACAAACAGATCATCCCTAGTCATCAGCTAAACTGCACCCACGTCACTTGAGGATTATAGAGAGACAAGATGGGGGAGGTAATATATTTTATTGCACCAACTTCTGTTGGCGAGAGAGACAAGCTTTTGAGCTTACATAGAGCTCTTCTTCAGGTCTGCTTGACGTTTAAAGAAGTTTGGCTGATACCTCCTGAGCAGCAAAAGAATTCCCGTGAGATCTCCATTCACTTTCCCTCTTTTTGCAGAAGATCAGAAGTGAGAAATTGAGTCAGTCCACTCCTGAGCAGGTGAGATTCCATCCAGCAGTGAGCAGCGGTGCACACCAGTCAGTCTATTACAGCACCCCCTTCTCAATCCCTGTATTTTCATACTGTTCCCATCAGAGGAAACCAAGTCGGGCAATGACAGATAGAAGCTACTGTCACTGAAGCTGCAGTGTTCTTCCTGGGAGTCCATGTCACAAAGCAGTGATGCTCCTGGCAGGAGGGTTTAGGCCCAGATCCTCAAAGGTATTTAGGCACCTAACTCCCATTGACGGGGAGAGGTGATTAAATACCTTTGAAAGTCTGGGCCTTAGTCTTTACCCATGGGTAAGTTAGACATTTGCAAGACATCTTCACTCCAGGAAGAGCTGGTGCCTTCCACTGCTATAAGCAGCCTGGCCAGGAGGGAAGCCCCTACTCATAACAGACCCAGCTTCCATCCCTTACCCTGTGAGCTAGTAGGTTTGGGAGGCCAGTGGGCACATCACATTCACCCCCCGGCACACACTAAGCAGCCCCCGAAACAG